CGAGTCGCTTGGAGCAATGTATTTAGCCAGTATTTATTATCCGGACTTATTTGCACGGAAAGAATCGTGACAGATAACAAGTATTACATAAATTCAAGTAAACTCGAGGGAGAGATAATTGCAAATTGCCAACTAATTAAATAGCTAATGCACTATTTCAAAAATTTATTATAGTTATTATAGTTTATTATTATTAATTGTGTAACATTTATTAAATAATATCGAATACATCACTAGATATTATTACATATTACATATTAATTTCTAGAAGTTTCTTTGTGGTCCTAGCCAATGAAACACGCAATAATTCTGCAACGTAGAAAAGTTGCCAGAGCGGATATTGATATATAGGTCGTCAACAAAGGTAAAAGTAGAACTGCTTTCTGTCTGACCACCTTCGATCTTCGTGTATTCAAGTTCATTGTACTTTAAAAAGCCTTGTATCGTTTTAATTTTCGATTTTTTTTTTTAATTCTACAATACGTTAAATAAATCTTCAACTCGTTAATATTATCGCTAATCGATTTTATTAAATTTATAATTTAATATACTTTTGCAATTCTTCTTCCGCATCGATACAATTTATTTTCCTAATGATAGAATTTTATAGAAAGTAAACTGGCAAAAGTTAAGAGAATAATAAATTTTCATAGATAATAAACACGATAATAAACAGGTAATTAAACTTTGCGCTTATCTCACATTATAATGCGAGACCAAAGTCCATGAGACGTAGCATTACATCACCAATGAACGTAGTACAAGAAATGGCCGGTGACGTGAATAAAATTCGAACGTCAAAGTGACATCACTATTATTTTCATCGCTATTATTTTGTCTCCGATTCTCTGTTATTTTAATCTCTGAGATATCGTAGGTTTCTGTAAAATCTGTGAATCGGAATTTAAAAGTGACAAGTATTGAATGCGAACGGAACAGGTTGAGAGCCGTATTCGGTCGAGCCCCTCGAACGACAATCAATCTAGCCAATGAGAAACTTTCTTGCCATGACGTTGTGGGTCATCAAATCATCAAGTACAACCGGACTGATTTGTCGGCTCGCGTGTTACTCATTACGGATCATTTTATTGGCAAATCGGTCAAAGTCAAGTATATTGCTCCAATTGTTGCGGTAATCGAGCTCACTGGTCGTTCACAAAACAATGTCATCAAAAGTATAACTGTTAAATTAGCCATCGACGTCAATTCCTTTTTACAATCCCCTTTTTAATTCGAACAATAGATCCTTTCCGTTCGAAATGAAATCGGTTTGTAAACAAGTTGGATTTTGATATCATATCAATGAAAATCGCAGAATTTTTCGCAAGTTATACAGATGCCACGGATCTTTAAATTTTATTATTTTTTCGTAGAATTTGCAAAAGTTGTAAAATAAAATACTCAAAACTGCATTAAAATAAAATAATCCGTTCATCGTTAAACAAAATTTAAATAGATGATCAAACTATAGATTTATCTTCAATAAGAAGAATTGCGTTTTTTAAAATATGAATCTGAAATTTTTAACAATTGGAATAATTGAAATAATTTATTTTACGAATTTAACGATTTTCTTCCTGCATTCATGAGAGAATATCATTATCTTTAATGATTAGATAATCGACCGATTTGCCAGAGGTACGATTTTTGATAACGAATTTCATTGAATGCGCAATAAAAGTGCGATTGTACGTGATTTTTTTATCTAAATGTGTATAAATCCTATAGCGTAAATTATTTTCAATGATTTGCAACTCTTTCTAGCTTCGACATATCGGACATTATCCTAGAATGTCATCGTCAATTTTATGTAGCACAATAATTTTCAATTGATAAATTTCAATTCTTCTTATTTCTAACATATGCTTTTGTGTCAATTCGTGACCGATCGAATTTATAGCCGGAAATTATGGCGAATGAGAACCGCTTGAGACGAGCCTCCTGTCTAACCGGTTGAGAGGCAAATCGCGGATCACTTTAGCTACCAACACTTACCGTGTCGGCCAATCACGAAACAACCAGACGAAGGCTCGTCTTCTTGCATCTTGCATCTCTTGCTGTGCATCGCTTTCGCGCTCTGTTTAATTGCATCATTCAGAGAGAGATTCGTTAAAGAGACGTTAGATTAGTAATTATGCAATTCTTGCAGATGTTGAGCAAAATTAAAATGAATTCCGCGTTCGTCACAACGAATCGTGACGCAAATACTTCGTATCATTGTTGACATTGGGATGATAACCGAAGATGTGTCACTTTAGCTGGTAATGCAATATTCAAGATCAGAGTCGGAGGATCAGATTGCTTTATTATGCGCAACTGGATTCTCTGACGAGAAATAAATATTTGCATTTGGAAGTACAATTATATATGTATTGCAAGCTCGAAAGATAAAATTTTATCTTTTAACATTTTTAAAATGATATAATATAAAATTAATATTTTATTAAATTTCATTAATATTTTATGAAGTTATTATTATAAACAAAAAACACAAATTACCTCGCCTTCAAAAGAGCATTAAAATACAGAATTTTTTTCTCATTATCGACACATCCATTAACTGTTGTTTGACTATTCCATTCCGTTCACTCGTTTCAAGAATACGACACTGATGAGATTGGAGATTGACTTGCGAAAATAGAACCGTGAAAACGAATCATTTTATACGACCTTTCGAAAAAAATCAATAAATAATTCGAAAAAAATCAATGTATCAATCAATGTAAAATTGATATTAATTTGCTTTCTATTTTCGAAAAAATCACATTCTTGGAAATAGAGAACATTCCAAGCCCGATGAAATTTATTCATAATTGACACGAGTTCTTTATACAAAGATTATACAATCGCGATTTATTTCATTTTCGCACTCGTTGCAGTCAAAGCAGCATCGCTGTTTTCGCTGATGCAGCATTTATGCGGCTACCGTTTGCTTTATCTGCGACCTAAGCAAAAACTAAAAATAATTTAATCGCGCGTTAATAATGATACATAAAAAAATAAAAAAAAATCGGATATCTAAAATGTTGTAACATGTTTATTATGTGATGAATGGAATTTTAATATGCGAGAGAAAGAGAGAGAGAGAGAGAGAGAGAGAGAGAGAGAGAAAGAGATAGAGAGACAATTTTCTAAATTTCTAGAAAAAAGAAGAGTTTAGAACGCGATTCATCGGTATATATTGGGAAATATGTTATTTTGCACTAACCTCCCGATCTAATAATATCATCTATTCGGCCCTGTAACTTACTTCGGCATGAATTTTGGCACGATGTCAATTGTGACACACGCAAAATGCATACTCCGTTAATTTCTACCATGTATAGCTCATTCACGTCGCGTGTTACACGCTCGTCCAATCGCATCGCTCCGACCGATGTCGCCAATAAATATTTTTTATCAATCTTTAAAAAATGTAACTTTTATTCGTAAAAGGTAGCAAAAAAAGGTAATATTATCCACGTAAAAATTTTCTCAACATCCGTTTGAATAAAAATGAATTTCGGACGATTTATCATTGTATCTTACGACACATCAAGGGGACTCATCATATTATCGCGTATTATTTTTTAGATAGAATTACAGTATCCGGTTTCTCTTCCTACTTCCTAATTATTAAAAGAAAACGGATATCGAAGATAAGTAAAATCTTAATTATAATACTAATTTTACTTAGCCATCCGAGATACTTGAATACTCAAATACTCATAGATTTAAAAATAATTGTAAGGTGCTCGCAAATTTTTTTTGTTACAAATTAAATTAAGAAAAATATGCAAAATGCAACGCGAAATTGCTCAAGTCTCGCTAATTTGGACTGTGTAGCTATCAATTCGCATTGTGTTATTAACATAATTTGCATGCATCGAATTGATTCACTTCTAATACAAATAATTGATTCAATGAATGCTTGCGTTATAAAGAATGGTGATATTCCACTCGCATAAAAAACACTCTCTCATTGTTAGTCGAATACTAATATATCTAAAAATTGATTATACAGAAAATTTAATTCGAAATTAATCTATTAATAAGAGCAATATCAAGTATCTCGCGATACTGTGAGATTTAAAATAATCCACATTTTTTTCTAGTCTCGCAAAATGTAAATTGAAACCTTCGCCTATCACTTCCGAGAGTTAATGTTCTTCGTATGACATTCGAACGTCGAAAGGACACCGAACGACAATGATACCAAATTGTCCTTCAAACGCAAACACGTGCGTAAAATGCTAATTATCGAATTCATAATTTCAATCTACATGCACTTTACTTTTGCATTAATAGCAATCTGTAAAATAGGCGTTTATGTCTCTAAAAATACGCGCGCCTGTTTAGTTATTCTAATCACAATAATAAAGTGTGTCGTATTTTGAGAAAAAGTAATATTTTGCATTTTATAATTAATTATTTTTATAATTAATTATCGTGAAAGGATGCAAATGTTTTTGTTTGCGTTATCATGATCTGAGGATAATCTAGAATTTAATTTCACAAAATTTAATGAAAAAATTACGGTGTAAAAATTCACAATTAAAATATTATTTCTAAAATAAATTAAAGTATTATTTCTAAAATACATCACAATTAAGATTTTATATTTTCACTAATTTCATGCTATAATAGATAAATCGATAAATCGAATGAATATTGCATTTCAATGTTTTAACAAAATTTTTCAACACAAAAGAATGAGAGAGTGTATGCAAAAAATGCATTTTTTCTTAATTAATGCAAAACGTTAATTTTAGACACGAATATCTTTATGACTTTCAATTCCGTAATTGTCGCCCATTTCATTTAACACGATTATTATGTAACGCGCGAAGGAATAAACCTCAGCGGGCACACACACACACACATTCGCACGTGCATGCACCTACAAAAACGGACATGTTGAAAGATATTCCCGAAGCCTCCCACGAGTTTTCGCGAGCACGTGTCGGCGCGCGACACGTTTGAATCTGTAAATGCGATTTCTTGTAATTGAACGTAATTACCTTTCGCTCTCGCTGCGAGCCGGGAGAGAGTAGGAGGTTGTTTTCACTGCAAAATTATATATCGCGCGATCACACACAATCGGCGCACTGTGCGATTATCACTCCTCGCGGTTATCACACCGCGGTGGACGAACGTTATCGGCGCGAAGGCGAACGAGATTGGCGCGTACGAGATCGATCAATCGACCGCCCGCTCGAGAGTTGACGATCGCTGACGAAACAGTGTCGTCCCGTTGCGAGGAGAAACGAAAACGTCGATTTCACACGTGGCGGAGTGTCTGGTGCCGCGTTACGTACGTGACTGCTAGCGAGTAGTTATCCGAGAGAACCTCCGCGCAAGTCTGTCTCCCTCTCTCGTTCGCACCAGGGTCGGAGGATTTATGCGGCGAGTCGAGCCATGGAGTCGTCGCAAGGGGAGATTTCGCGTTATCTCCAAAAGAAAATAACGTCTTTCGCGCACGGTTACTTCAATTAGGATTTTTGTCACGCATTGCATATACCTGTATATACTTTTCGTCTCGAAAAGGAAGGAGATTCCCGTTATAACTTGGGACTGCGAAACGAATCCTTCGCATTCCGGCACTGCATCGGATCCCACTCACCGTCACAACCGTCGATCAATCTTTCCTTCTCTCTCTTTTTTATTCTCGATTGATATATGTCTGTCTTCTCTTTCTCTCTTTCCCTCCTTTTGAAGGATAGATATACACTTGTCGCCTCGAAGCACGTATACAATATGCGTATAAATGCATAAATTGCATTCCGGTTTAGGAACAAAGTGTTGACGAAAGACGAAACTTTTTGAAAATGATATTATAAATAGGATATCAGATTTTTATAGTTTAAATCGATAAATTTGAGGAGAGAGAGAAAGTCAATTTTGTGAAAAATAAACGAGTCTCCGAATCCCAATGTAAGTGTACAATTATGAATATTTATTTAGTTACTTATTTAGTTACTTATTTAAGTTAAGATGCTTAACCGATGATACAATATTATATTTAAAAAAGATTATAAGATTATAATGCAGAAAAAATAATAAAACTCTCATCATTAGAAAAAGAGAGAGAAACAAGAAAATTTAATAAAATTCTTTCTTCCTCCATATTTTCTTCTCTTTTCTTAAAATGACATCTTTCATTTATAAAAGAATAAAACGAAAAAAATTGCATATAATATAAAATTTTTTGAACCCGATTAGAGCCCACTTTAAATCATCTATTTGCGGCAAAACTTAGCACAACATTTTATTTTCTAATTTTATAAAAAGGAATATAATTGTGAGCATTTAATGAAAAAAATTGACAAGGAGCGAAATTTCCTAGCTCTAATTCTGTCCTCGGGAAGCAAATTTCACTCGGATATCATAATCTATTCAATAGTGACTCGGAACGAAGTGATTTGTCTTTCAAAACGCATGTGTAGTACATCATGTTCTATTGTTAGCCAACAGTCGACGTATAGTTACACGACAAAGTTCGACGAGAGGAATTACGAAGCACGTGCTCGGATCATTCACTTGCGTCAAAGAAACATAGAAGAGACTTTCAATCTTTGACTTCGGGTATTTTCGCGTCTATTGTATGATTTCGAATAATCTTTTTCGATTTTTTATTAAACGTGCATTTCTCGTACACTTTATTGTTCCATCAATTAAAAAAATCGTGCGGATTATTGTTTATTATTTCTTGAAATTAATTATGTCAATTTCTGTCATAAGTAAACGGATCTTTACTAATTGTAAATAAGCTTCACGGAAAAGAGAATTATTCTCGTATATTATATTCGGTTAACCGCAAAGATACGCTATGCATCCTAATGCGATTGTTACGACTTTGTTGTAAATTTCAGATTTAAGATATTATAACAAATAAGTATAATATTAAAGTCATCTCACAGATAATCTACCTTAAATTTTTCAATTTTAGTTTAAATTCTTCAACAATACAATTGTGTTTTTAATTTCTTTTTCAAGAAATAATATTTTTTTAACAATGGATGTGTTCATGTATGATCATAGATTAAATAAATTATATTTTTTAATGGTAATATTAAAAAAATATATTTTACTAAATCAATATATTAATTATAATAAATTAAATTATAAAACTTTGATAAATTAATGTATTTTTTGCATTCTTTCACAATTTGGACATAGCTACATCAAATCTATTACATAATACATCGAAGACATGTTATACCGTTTCAACAAAAATCGTGATTATTAACTCGAATCCTAAACGTGCATTTTCAAGCAAAATAAAGAACAACCAAGGAGGAAACTGGCAATCTTTGTTACCCATAAAATCATGTTCTAATCGCATTCCTACACAAGGAATATTTTCAAAATATCGCTCGCCAACAGTAGCAGTTGAAATTGTATCACACATTGTTACACGAATGTCTTTATCCGACAGATTGCGTTATCATTAATTGTTAATAAAAATTTAAAAATACGTGAGAAAATATTAAGACATTTTTGCAGCGAAAATATTTATCGCGAAATACAAAGATACTTAAGATCGCTGCCGGGGATGTTGACGACAAATAACTCGTTATCTATCAATCAATTGAAAACCTTGTACGTACCATATGAGAAACCTTCGATTCCTCTCTGCTGCGTCCTTAATTAAGAAATCACTATGCGTAAGATAATGAAACGCAAGTACGATGAAAACAAAACTTTACTCGTTTAAACAGTAAACAGTTTCTATTCAACTCTAATCAAATACCGTAAAATCCGTAAAGCACAAGATTGTTTCTACAAAACAAAACATTGAAAGAATCATTTGTTCTCTTACGAATAGGGCACAAAGTCTTCAAAATTTGCAGCGTCTATAGAATTCGGAAAGTTAAATAATCACTTCACACGCAAATGTTTACCATCTGCGAGATTCAACACAATGCACCAATTTAACAAAAGTTTATAATCCTCTTTCTTTTACACGAGTCATGCTCAAGATAATTCTTCCGTCTCTAAAATATTTTAACTTCGACGAAATAAAGGATCTCGATTTTGATTTCGATTTTCTCTCTCCCACTCGATATTTCTCGTCAAATGCAACAAGTGTAACTTACGGATGATAGTTTCGGGAACAGGTACACGATAGTGAGATCACGGTGAAATGCGCAAACGTGCGAAATTCAATTCGAAGATAGCGCACCGTATATTATGGCGATGCGACACGCGCGAATGTTCGGTGGCCGACTGACGTGCTGGAACGTCAATCGAGTGCCTTATAATCATCGGCTACTCTCGTCGGCAATTATCACGTGACCGCGAATATTTCTTGCTGCTTTGCTAAGCCGATGATCGAAGTGAAGGCCGATGTAGTTTTGCTTAGATTCGTTAACGCTTTACTCTAATATACGTACACGCGATTTGTCTAATGAGAATGAAATAGATTAGCGCCACGTTTTATTCTCAATCAGGCCGTAATTGGTAAATTAAAATCACTATTGTAATCAACGCGCGAATTTAGACGAAATTTTCCATTAACAGCGACTTCCGAAATGTCAATCACAGAACAAACGTAAATGGTATCGATATGAGATGTCCGTGTTGTACATGCAAGTGACAGAGATAAACAGACACAGAAGTATAATGGACACTCACGAAAATAGATTAATTTGGTCTCGCAAAAAATATTAAAATTTTATACACACACATGTGCTTTTTTTAAAACATCGATCTAAACTAATTCCAGCGTGTCGCGAAAATAATGACACACACACACACACACACACATATATATATATATATATATATATATTGTGCGTGATAATAACACGAAAGTAGAAGATTAATTGAAACCTCCTGTGCGTGCGTTATCGTGGGAAAGTCAAGTGACCAAATCAGATGTAAATATGTTATACAATGCTTACAGAGCACACGCGTGCATTTTCTTAAAAAATGCATACAACCCAAGAAAAATCTGCTCGTGTAGCATGTCATACAACACGTGATCGCGGGACGTGAATGCCCCCGCGTATTCTTCACGCACGTGTCTGATACATAACAGACATTGTATCACGAATTAATCGTAAGGTTGCCGAGACTGTAAAAATAAGAACTGGCTATGTGACACACTGAATCCGATCCGATACCGCCGACGAGCCACGTGCGTCTTCTAGCAATCAATTTTCACGAATGCACGAAGAAAGAAGATTCGCGCTCTACGTGACTTTGACTACATAATTAAATTAAAAATAACCGTAAAAAGATAGCGTTATAAGCATTCAAACATTCTATCTTTACAAAAAACAATACACCTTGAAAGTTTGAAGGACAAAGAGGTAAATGATTAATATCCGAAATTAATTTTTTCACGATTAATTTTGTCTTAAATTTTATGTTGTGCAAATTAATCGAGTAGGATTTTAACGATTATTCACGCTTCAATATGCTTTTCCGATTATTCATCTTTTAATGACTCAAAAAATTTGCCGATAGATTAAAATCTCGCGAGATGAGTTCCGAGAGACGTGCAAAATACCGTAGGTATTTTACCAATGGAAACTTTTCCTCTTGCACGCCTCGCGATTAACGACGGGGTCAGGTCAGGTCAACGAGAATGGAGAATTACTCGTCGCAGACATCGTCCGTTGACATAAAACGTACCAACAATCGACGATCATATAGATAAAACTCACGTATGCATAAAATCTTCTCAAGTGTAATTAGCCATCAATTACGCCTCGATCGCAAACAATAAGATAACAAATGACTAATACATCGATCTCGACTCTTTCGCAAATAATCTCTCCAACATATATTGTATAAAAAAATGCACGCAGATAAAATTTTATATCGATAATATATATCATGCATTTTTTTATTACTCTACCTTTTTAATTATTTTAAAAATAAATTATTAATTATTTTTAAAATAAAAAATATAATTTTATATCATTCTAGATTTTTAGTAAAAATGGAAAGCTATTTTTATTAAATATTTTAGCACATAATTTTTATATCAAATGTATCAAATAAATATGTTATATTTAGATTTTTTGAAACTTTATCGTGCGACTTCCCCTGACTTTTGTAAACGATTGGAGAAATATCAAGCGTGTGACTACTTGAAGATAACAGTATGATGCGACAAAAATAAAGCTCGACAAGAACTGGACATACCTGGATCTGACGAGATGATACCGGTCGAGCTTTTCGCCGATTAGCTCGCGACGATGGTGAAATTGGTGACCCTGATTAGTGCGCTGCCCGCTGCAACTCAGGCAACGGCGAGCTCCTTGCCAAACAACCAGCATCACTGTAACACGAACAAAACGATGAATGTTAGCGCG